CCTTGGATCTCTCCAACTTAGCAAATTCTGAAACCTCTCTCCTTGAGTGGCCAAGTCACCAACGACAGTTTGAACCCTACCTGCTATGCTTCTCAAACGATCATACCTCATCCTGACGATATCCGAAGAGCGAGAAGTTGGAAATGTATCGAACTCTTCATCCAGTTCATCAGGATGAGCACTATCAGCATGAGACAATCTGGTGTCCATGTGGGGAGGGTGTCTTGGCCTCCACCTGAAGTTCCAGATTCCAATCAAGAACAGGTACAAGAAAATAGTGGGAAGTATTAGCTCTGGGTAGAGAACCAATATTATGAAAAGGATATGAATCAGAATGGTAGTGAGAGGGTTTCTCCAATTGCATATCTGATCAAACCATCTCCCTATGGCAATCAACCCACCTAGAACTTTCATAATTCTAAAGAAATTAGCTTTGCTTCTTCTCATGCTCCACATATGTGAATCTACATCTAGCATATATTCCACCACCTCTTTCCTTAGAGGTGGCTCGGCACGGCCCAACCTCATGGATACAATCTGCATGGCCTGATGCCTCAAACTGTCCAGCTGAATCACAGATAAAGGATGGATATAGTGCATCTTGGGCAATAATGGTTGCGAATACATATACAACATATTAAATAAAGATGAGCCTGTGAACCTCACAGCCAATTGCAGTTCCCCCATTTTCTTCACACCTGAAGTATGCAGCACCAGTAGAGGGTATGAATGTGTATAAACCCTATCTGATTCAAGAGTGGACAGTCGAATCCTCACCTTCCCTATCTTTAAATCCTTTGATCCTCCTGACTTGTCTCCTCCTTGCATGTGACCATTATCAAAAACCCCAATCGTAATAACAGTGCATGGATCAAAAACTTCCCAGGTATACTGCTCATTCCACCTTGGAGCAAAGCTGTCTACAATTGTCCTCGTACGGATCCATTTTTGCCCATACTTAGCTACACAATATGCATCTGTTGTTCCTCGACCATCTCTTGCCTTCATCGGCATCAGCCCTTGCGCACTAATAATTCCAACTTCCAGAATTCCAATGCTGGACTTCCAAAGCTGTTTTGCAGTTGGCCTAAGATCACTGCTGTAATGAGTTGATTCATCCAGCACATGATACCCACCATCCAAACACACCCTCAAATGTATCCTACTCGCAAATTTGGTCTCTTTCTTCTGTTCCGCTTCACCAACCACATGCTTCTCAAGATTGAACCACCTAGTGTTCACAGGCTTATGGTCTAACCTCCTTTGCACAGTCTGTAGAGGAATCACACACCTTCCCAAGATTTCATCTTTGTTTGGTCCAACTCTGTCTTCCACAGTCAGTAACAAAGGCTCTTCAAATGGTTCGGCAGCAACAAACATCAAGTCCTCATTCCACATGGGATTTATAGTCTTACTTGGAGATATTTTAGTTCTCAAAAGTTGGTTTCCAAGATTCACCTTTACAAACACTTCAGGATATCGGCTTTTATCATTCGGTACCAAGTCCTGAGCTTCAATAACATTGACCCTCACATACCAAAGCTTGGGAGAAAGGTAAACCTTGGATTTTATGTTTGCAACTGCTTCAGGACCAACCGATGCTGCATCAGAATGCCATGAATCAGGAAACGCCTCGTCTGCTTGTGTTCCCATCCATACAGCCAGCATTATCTCTCCCTTAGTCTTAACGCCCTTCCGGTCCTCCAGCCTATACCATTGTGGAGCCAATGGACTGTCAGGGGGGACGCGCTTTGGGATCTCATTAAGGTCGAACAAGACCCTTCCTACAAAGTCGTCCACAACAACATCCTTATCTTTCACAACCACTTCCAAAACTGAAGCTTGAATTCGATCTTGTGAGAAGGCAAAAACCTGGTTCCACTCAGGATTGGCCTTCTTCTCAAAATGCTTGGTAAGGCCCTTGTAGTTCCCAAGTTTCACTTCCACATAGGGGTCCAAGCTACCGGTGACATCCTTCCCAGGTAAATCCTTGGCTTTCACCACACGAACATACAGATACTGCATTTGTTCCACAAGGTCATAGGTGCATGACAGCTTGTCCCCTGTGACGGACCCTGCCCCAATTTTGGGGAAGGTCTGTTTCAGGGCAAAGTCTTGAGGCTGTGGTGGCTTCTGCATCGTTTCTAGAGTACACTACAAGTCTACAATAACCAACACTGCAAATAGGACAATGTCATGCATTCAGAAACAATTGAACAGATGCTCTTTCAATTTTACGTTGACGCAAGTATATAAAGGAAACGAAGTGCTCACGGGATATAATCCAAAGCAACGGTGAGATGTGAAGAAGCAATCAAGAAGAAACGACGATAAAAGGACCTCGCCACTTGCCAGTGATCTTAGACCGCAATACTGAATGGGTCCGCCAAATCTTTGAAGGAAAAGCAAAATTAACTGTGTTGAAGAAATATCAGAACCAGTATGGCAAAAAGAACAACATTTCATCCAAATGAATAAAATGGTGAAGAGAAGAACAGAAGCTTGTATATTATACGCCAAACGGTAAACAAAAATGGAAGCAAACAAGTTAAAAGATAAGAGGGAAAAAGCTTTCGTGTAAACATAGAACAGGTTTTATTTTATGCATGTCTGTTTCTTCTGGACCACCAAACCGGGACAAAGACGAAGAAAATAGCGAGGTAGCCTTAAAACAAAAGGCATTTACTGAAGGGAAGTGCAGACCATAGTTAGACAAGCTTGTATTTGACGATTATAAATAAAAGGCATTTGGAAGAAAAGGGCCCGTCAAATCAAAAACCAGCAGAAGAAGTAAACCCATTTCATCAACTTCAACTACCACTCACCAGAGGGAAGAGGCAAAGTTTTCAATCTTCAACAACTACTCACACCAATTTAAAGAATTATTGTAAGATGTATCAGTAAAACTGGGAAGAAATGAAACGAACACGCAACAGAGATTTAGCACTAACATCAGAAGATGTAGTCCAGGGTGTCTTTCTTCTCAAAGGCTCGCGCTCTGAGCTGCCGACACAAACCATCGCCTAGTAGGATGAATGAGTGAGCTTGTAGACATTGAAAGCTCAGAAGAGGCTGGGAGTGTGTGCGTGAGAGCGTGATGGGAGTTGAGATCTGGGCAAAATCGACATTTTAAGGCGTATGCACAACTTTCTAATTTGCACAATCTTCTAGGACGTAAACTGCAGGCAAACGGTGCGAGCATATTGGTCGGTTGTGACTTGGGACTTTTTGCGGAAAAAAATCAGATCAATGTCTTGAAATTATCATTCATAATAACTTGGTAGAAATTAAACCATAATTTTAAAAATATTTTTATGTTATATTATTTTCAGTTCTAATTATATCAACTAGTTAACTAATTTAAAAAGATTAAAGAAAAAATTTAAATTGGTTGTTCATAATAAATAAATATTATTTTTTTAAAATATCTTTATTAATTAAGTATGTTGGCTAGAATTATCAAGGATTATCTTTAAAAAATGTATAAATATGAAAGACAAAATATATTGAGATTTTATATTTAAGATTAAAATAAAAATCAAATAAAATCTTATATTAAAAGTCAGAAATAATATGAAATAAATATATAAAAGAATTTATTTCATTTTATGAAAAAGTCCGTTTATTTGCTTCCAAACACACGCAGGGCACATCTCCTCTCAAGTCTCAACGTTTATAATTCCTGGAATGGGTCTTATGCATGCACATCGAAGTTTAGCTTGAAAAAGTTGCTGCCATCTGAGATTGAGGCACGTGGAAGATGTCCCGCTGCATACTGTACAGCTAGTGGAAAGAGAGAGAATCGCACGTGAAGATACTGTAGCAGTTTTGGAAGTTTTGAATCTGAGAGAGGATAATGTTGATTCTTGGGCTTGACTCCTTTCTTACAACCAAAAAAAAAAAAGGGAAATATTTTTTTTCTAATGTTATATTTAATTATTTTTTTCTTGTCATATTTTTCTACACTTTTTTTCTCATTTATTATAAAAATAAATTTAAAATAAAAATATATATATAATTTTTTTATTATTTTTCAAAAGAAACTATTTAATATTTGTTCATTTATTTAATTATTTTTGAGGAAGTCAGCAAAACTAAAACCTGGGCGCATCGTTCTGTCTCTCTGTCATGTCCAGCTGGACTGTATTCCCTGTCTCCAACTAAAGGACAAATAAGTAGTACAGTCTACAAAAGCAAAATGAGGGCAAAATGGGAAGTAAGAAACAGACCAACCCGGTTTAAAATACCCGTAAAGAAAGACTTGGATGATCCTGAGTATGCGATCCTGACGCATGAGAGAGAAATAAAGGCGATGGAAGCAAGATATTGAGTTTTGAGTTGAGCCCCTTTGCTATTGATCCGTCTTTGAATCGTGTTTACCTTCTTCTAAACTGATGCGAAGATTTTGATGTGAATTACCTGTCCAGGATATCAGGTAACTGGATATCCATTTTGATGTCCGGTAAAGAAACCTAAAACTTACATCGAACCGCGCTCAATTCTTCAGGTAGTGAAAAAAGTTAGTGGAAGGACTACGATATTGCAATTTCAAAAGCCTGCGGTAATCGCATTATCATTTCCCATAATCTTAGAAATGGTTCGTGCTCGTTGTCCCCCCCCCCCCCTCTTGGGAAGAATGTTGCATGTCATTTGTATTAAAAATTTTACAGAGAAACGTTCAAATTTTAAAAATTACGCCGAAAGATTCAAACATCACAATCAGAAGTTTAGCTGACTATTGACTAGCAGGATCTCCGAACAAACGCACAGGACACAGAAGTTAAGCACACTTATTTTTTTGGCATTTGTGAGAGATAGTAGTTTTTGGCAAAGTACATGGAAGGAAGCAAGCATATTTTACTTTCTCAAGCTTGGGAGGGATATGGATCGTATGATACCATTAAACTATGTCAACAATTGATTAAATATTTTCTTCGAAAATATAAAAAGCATCATCAAAATGTTCTTCCAATGATAATGAGCCGAGTAATTCACTTAACTTAACACCAGTTGATTAAATATTTTATTTGAAAATATAAATAGCATCATCGAAATTTTCATCCAATGATAATGAGCCGAGCAATTCACTTCACACCAGTTTATTCATCTATAATGTTTTTCTAAGCTCAAACGTTCAAAACCGACACAGAAAAAAAGAATTTGGCAGTAACTGTATCATTTGACAACACAAAAGAATTCCATATGATAATCTCAGAACTTTTTCACATGAACCAGTGCCCCTTGCCTCGCTCCAGATTCGAGCATGGCCTCTAAGACAGCAACATCTCTGGCACCTTCGGCGAAAGAGAGGCGGGGTTCAGCTTCAAACTGACTTTCCTTCTGCATAAACGACGAAAATCAGACTAAACTATCGCTCATTAAATTTCTTGAGTATACACGTGCATGGGATCATGAACAATGAAGTCGCCTGAATTTACCGTTCCAAGAATGTTGACATAGCAAAGGAAAAGAGACTAACGTGGTAAGCACGAATGAAGGCAGAAAGTTTAATCCTAGGTTCTAGGATCGGCATGAAACTTTACGTTGTTACCTAGTAATCTAAAAAAGCTATTGTCAACCACCCTTGATAGCCAAGAACATACATCAAGCGGAGAACATAAATAAATAGAATCTCAAACCACATACATTATCATTGTTTGAGAAAATGAAACATTAGATATAAGATCAGGAAACGCAGAATGAAACTTGGATATGAACTTGGGCAGGTGGAAGCATTAGTAAGAATCCCATTTACCTTAAGGGTGCTCTGAGAAACATCATTGATAAAAGCTTTAAATTCTTCAGTCACCCCACTGAATGGGAAGAATGAGCTTTTGCTTTGTCCATCAGCACCATAAAATGTGATCTGTCATAGCATCATGAAATGAAATGAACGAAGATGGCAGACAACATAGACAAAAACAATATGCAGCTTCATTTTAGGTGAAGAGACTACGTCATAGTCAAATATTTTAGTTTTTTTTTTTCCCCATGAAATCCAGTTACCAAAACTAAAGTTTGTAGACATACAAGGTAACCATGTCGTCCTTGAAATCCTCGCTCAATTTGCACAGTTCCGTTGATGCCAACAACTCTCCACAATATCTAAAGGCATTAAATAAACTGCATTCTGTTAGAAGAATACATGTAGTAATGACGGGCATATCTAGTGTCCTATTTGTGCGCACGCGAGATGAATGTTTACCACATGCCTTGGGCGAACTTGAGGAGACAACCATTACAAATACTCCTGAACATCCATTCTCCAGATGACTGGTGCAACATGTTAGGTCTTAGATTTCCAGTTGTATCAAGCAAAGCTAACTGCATGAAATAGAGACTTACAAGACACATGATATATTATCTGGCGGAGGCAAGCTCGTATCCACATGAGATGTCATAGCTGCAACTGAAAGTACCTCACAGCCAACAAGCTGCAGACAGAATGGCAGACAATAATAATCATACATATGCAGAACATCTTATAATAAAAATTTTGACATTACCATTCTCAACCCCGCTACATAATGCACACCCATATCGAGAATGAAACCTCCCTGCCAGAAAAATAATAATACCGATTCACTTCCAGAATAACCTTGTATGCTAATAGAAAGGAAAGGCAGAAACAAATTCCCATAATTTTCTCTAATCTAGAACAGCCACAGAAAGAGTCAAGTAGGAAACAATTTCTCCTTAATGAGTCATGCCATGTACCCAAAAAAAAAAAAAAAAAAGACCCACCTTGCTTCAGGAATACGATACTAATCTAATATAATTACACAGGAATAATTTGATACCCTAATAACAAGAGCAGGTAACGTAAATTCCCATAATTTTCTGTAATCCTTGCATCTTCAAAAAGTTAAGTAGGAAAAAATTTCTTCCCACTTGATGAGTCATCCCACACACTAAATTGATACTTAAGATAAAGGAAATGATTCTCAATCTTAATCATTACTATCATACTGTTAATTATGCCACTGTTAGGTATCATATAATAGCATTCCAAAGTAGAGTTTACAGAATTGTTCAAGTTCCAGAGTACAGTTGCACAAGGACTCTCCTGAATTAAAAGTAAACAGAGTATATGCAACTTTGTAACAGCACATACATTGAAATTTCGTCTCCAAGAGCTTGAGAAATAAGGATTTGAACTGTTCATTGATCCTTCAATGATAACTTGGACGTTCATCATTTTCCCAATTTCGGCTACTAGTTTCTTGCTCTAAAGAAATGAAAGAAAAGGAAAAAACGTCATCGGAGCTCCAGATTTATAGGCGAAGATTTAAATATTCCAGCAATAAATACCTCCACAAATCCAGGCTCAAACCGGTAATTTTCAGCCACAGCCCAAATTAAATTGCTAGGAACATCAGCAGAAATAGATTTGTAGTTATGTATTGCAGTTTCCAACTCACTTGTACCTACAATATCAGATTCATATATAACTGTGCTAAAATTTATGAATTTCATAAAGAAAATTAAAATATTGACTTCATGTTTATACTCTTTACTGGAGATGAAAATAATGTCTTAACAAATGTTACAAGACTAATGAAACAAGACAGTTGGCAATTTCCATTCAAAACCAAGGGACAGAAGTGACTATCCACTAAAATTGAAGTTTACCCCTGAAAGTTTGTTCTCCAGTTTGATTTTCAACTAGGTATTTGACCACTAAATGTTACAAATAGGCATGATTCCTTTGTTTTGAATTATTCCTTCTTTTTTTTATTACCAGTAAATTATATTACTTTTCAAAATTTTCTCTCATACTACCGCTAGACAGATGAAACATATATTTAATGATTTTAGTCAACTAAAAATCAGGGTATATCTATGATCCGCATTTAGATCAGGAAGACATTGAAAAGGAAATAAAAGAGATTTAGCTTAGGACAAATATAAAAGCTATCATAAAATATTACTTACAAGCTGCCGCTGGTTTCTCTTCAGATCAACCAGATTAGTCCCGTGCAAATAACATTTCCAAAGAAACATGAAATTTTAGTCAATTGAGAAAAAAATTTAAATAAAATTATAATCAGATATCAGTGCATTTGAAAACAATGAAGTGGCTAACCAAATGGTTTGCACACTCAACTACCCTTTTCTATATAAGAGAGAAACGGGCAAACCAACCATGTAAAAATACATTACTTCTAAAACAATCATTACCTTGGAGCACGTGTTTTCCAGCCCTTAGCACCCTTAGCGAGATGTCAACCTGCATAAATTGATTGTGAGAGAAATAACTTCAAAAAATTGTAAATCAAGCAGAATTCAAGTAAAATAAATTCAAGCTTTCAAAGTCCATCATTAGATAGAGTCATTCATGGTCTGCATTGCTAATTTCATCTATTGACCCCAAATTATTCACGTCAACTTTCATAGATAAAACACTGTTGGACATCTATTGCAGGAATTTTAAATCCTTTCATAAGATGCTGCACAGTTTGCATAGTAACGTAACGTAATAGTGGCTACAATTCATAAAATTTCAGGGAGTTGCATCTGGAATTTCAAGAAGTGGCTTCTAACGGTTAAATTACCAAGACGCCTAATCCACAAATATAAGCCATGTTCCTGAGCAGAAGAATACCTAGCAGATCAAACATTTAGATCTAGAATCCATCTGTCCAGTAGCCACTCACGAATACCAATTCTTTTTATTATCTAAATGTGAATTTGCATAAATAGATGGATGAGAGAAAGCGAGGGAAGGGGAAAAACACCTGAGTTTGCCCAGCCAATACCACAGCAACTGCAGTTACTGATGCATCTTGGATAATCTCATCAAGACCCCCATCTCCCCACTTGCATTCCAACCCAGGAAAATGTTTCTGAGCTATTTCAACTGCACATCTTGCTGATTCCTGCGAAGATAGGGGTATCACTATAAGAAGATTATTTTACAATTAACCTCCTTCTCTGATTGGCTTTTTCCTCAAAAGAATTTCCTAATAATCTTTATAGATATTTAAGACAAAGAAAACAAATGTTTTACTAACATGAAAAATAAAATAAAATAAATGTTACAATATGAACCCTCAAGGTTGAGTATGATATTAGAAAAGGCTCCTAAAAGATATTTTTGTAAGCTTAAATTCAAAGTGAACCGTGGGAAGGGGGAAAATACTCACGGAAATATTTTCCAGAACGTACAAATATTATATAATATTAAAAAGGAAAAACACCATTCTTACTCTCCTATAGCATCAAGGGATAAGAATTTTCTTGTCCAATCACAGCAAAATTTCTACTATGCTCATTGCATGTCTAAGTTCATGAAAATGGAAAACTAAATTTGTGTTCGTGTATTTTCGCCAACGAAAAGACTAAGTCACTCCATTAGTTTATTCAAATTTGAAATAAAAACAACACATTCGCATAAATTTTCCCAAACTTGTACTCTTCCGGTCAAGTCCAGCTTCAGACCAAATGGTTTTCAGCAGATGACCATATTACAAGCTAGTTTGAGATATAAAAGCATCGTTTTCCCTCTTTTTTCGGCAATGAAAAGTAGATGAGCTATGGGCATCAAACCAATTCCAAAGCTAGACCGGCCATAATATTGTTTGTTTTGCGGAACAGAAAGTAATATGATGGGAACATAGTAACAAAGGATTTTGCTAAGTGCTAGACTACTAGTATGAGAGCTGAACAATGTTTTGCTCCGAATCAAAATTCGTGAGAAATGCTGGTTCCACAAGAAAAATAAGCACGGCTAGTACTTCAATTCTTGTTTCAATTAGTATGAGTTTTAGTGAGAACCAAGCATTTCTGTTTTTAAGAAAAGTAGTACCTCGGTACGGCTCCATATGGCTTTTACAAGAACGAGATCAGGGATCTCAGAGAGTCTGGGAATGTACTGAGTCCTCACAAATGTACCAGCGCCCAAGATGGCGATCTGCAGTGGCTTCGTCGCCATTTCCGATCGGAAGATATGAAATGATCCAGCAAGTTTGCCGATAAAAATTTTAATCTCGCCGGGTTCCTTCAGATTTCGCCTTGCTTTTATTCTAACATCTAGTGGAAGGTGCACATAGGGTGACGGGTCACGTTTTTTGTTTTTCAAAATACCTGGACAAGAAAACGAAACCGGAGCCAGCAGTCATAAATTTGTTCGCGCCAGAAAAGTGTGCCACACTGTCACTAATCGAAGCCCAACCTGACAAGTGACAAGAACTAATCCACTTTTTTTTTTTTTTGGGTACAACTAATTCACTTAAATAAGAAGTCTAAAACTTCCACGGATGAACTACTTACAAATAAAACGAGCTGGGTATTAAATTCAAACCTGACCTCTAATTAAACAAGATAATGTAGTATTATTTCTGATCCTTGGTATAAAAATTAATTCACTAATTTAAATAGATTTATAAAATTAATTAAATTAGTTATTTGTAATAAAGAGATCTTGTCTTTCCTTAAATATCTTTGTTAATTAAGTATATTAACTATAACTACAATTATTATAACTTTGGAAAATAAATAAATAAATATGATAGATAAAATAGATTAAGATTTTATATTCAAAACCAAATTAAAAATCAAATAAACTCTTATAGTAACAACCAAAAGTAATAATCAAATTTGTTCATTTGATAATCCCCCCCAACAGAGAGAGAGAGAGAGCTGATCGTGAGGCGTAGCGCATGAGATCCTCTGGCAAATGCCAAGAAAAAATTGTTCACAAATAAAATGAAAAGGAAAGGATGACCAGGTAGAAGTTTGAAAGATAGGCCCCTATGGTGAAACAGGATGGAAAACCGAAAAGATAAGCCTCATTATATCGCAAGGATTGATGTACCAACATATACCATCCTCACTTCCCATACAGTCTAGTCTACATAAACATGTAGAGTACGTAGCAGCAACTTTTTTGGCTCAAACATCTAGAGTGGATGTTTGATTTATCCAAAAAAAAAATTCTTCTAAAAAATATTTTTACAAGTTAAAACAAAACTCTTGTAACACAAAATCACTTTTAAAAACATCTTCACCCAAGCACCCCTTAACACAATTAAATTCATTCCTTTTTCTAAAACACGAAAAGATACAATAACTGTTCCTTCTTGTACGATAATGCTCTGACACAAGTTTAAACTTAAATTTGGCAAAACAAATTTTCTTTGTCGTCTGTTATTGAAAGACTCTGAAGACAAAGAATGGAGCACGCAACTCAATCGTCTTATTTTCAGCTTCAAGTGACTGAATATATATTGTTTCCCTGGGTTCCTCGCTAACTCCACTCTGCGTGGCATACTCCAACGCCATTTCATAGTCCACCTGCATACACCATATATACTAAGTTTCGGTGACAAATTTAAAATTCAAGCGCCCTCCCCAGGACCCACACCCCATTATTTTTCTCTTTTGTGGCAAGATATGAAAAAATTAAAATTAGAATTATTAATTTAAAAAAAAAAAAAAAAAAACTTAAGCAGTACTGCTTGAAGGTCTCTATGGTGTTTTGTACGTATATTTCCCAGTCATTGACCAAGGATTCTCTATTATGCAGAAATATAACTAAGACCGTTTTCGTAGCTCGTGGATAACCATATTTCTTAGAACATAAACTTAAGGCAGGGGCCAGGGGCAACTTTACATGACAAACAAGCCATGGCTGTTTCTTCAGAACATGACTTCCACAGACAATTTCCATCCGCCCAAGATCCAAGATAGCCCTTGGGTTTGTAACTTATAATAAAGCTTATATTTTTCTGCATACGTTTCACTAAGTAGCATACCTGTTCAACATGTTTAGCAAGCTTTTCACTCAGTGTTTCTTTAGTAATTAAACCAGCAGATACTTTCCTCAGAAGTTCCACATTGTCATCACTGTAACGACTTTTCTTTGATGCATGCGACTGTGCCATTTCTTTCAAAACGCTGTAGACTGCACCACTAGCATCTGGAATGTACCTGCCAATTTCTAAAAATTACTTATCAATTCACACAAAAATAAAGCAAAGCATCAATCAATTGATTCCAGCAATTCTGAGAGGCAAAAAGGATATTCGCGTACTTGCTTAGATTTCGTTTCCTCTCCTGCTGCTCTCGGGCCTGCATCTTTTTTACTATCTTGGATTTTAATTGGATGCAACACTGCTGAATAGCATACTACATAAATGGTATAGTTAGCTTACAGCATACATCTCATTATTATAATCATAAACTGAAATCCTAGTTCAAAACTTCCAACCTTAACAGCAGAAGCAATATCAGTTATGTCATCTCCAATGTATTCCTTTCCAGTCCCTTTGAAGGGAATTTTCGTGCTCACAACACTTACGAAAACACCAATCTTATCTTGCATCTGGTTGATTTTGTAACTGCTCCAGCTGAAAAGGGATTCAATAAGATTTTACATATCTAGTGATTGACAAAAATGACTTCAACTAAGTTTAAACTACCAAAGCATAAGGCCATTATCATTTTGATTTATCTTTCTAATACCTGTCAAATGTAAGCCTTTTAAGCTTGAAGTGTGGCAGATGAAATACAAATATAATTTTAATTAAGAGAGGAGACAACGGGAGTCGAACTCCTGATCCATTGATGATAGAGGCACGCGATTAGTTTCATTAAAATGTCTAATAACCCAATTAGTTACGACCATCGAAAGGTATTCTATTTTCATCCTCTTCACACGATATTTATGATGTCCTTTGAGTTACTAATCGACAATATCTATCTGTTTTTAAAATTTGAAAAATAAAAGCATGAGGATATTTCTTGTCTTCACAAACTCCTTTCATTTTGATTTTTTCCTCTATTCTTTTTCATTCTGTGTATCGTATGAGCCTTAGAATGTTAAAGTGGACATGTCATACAAGAAAATATAGTATCGATAATGATTATATTAGAGGAAAAGTTGGCATGGCATTTATCACGAAGAAAATGACACAATTTTTTAAGGTGGTCCGTTCACAAGTAAAGGCCATTAAAAGCTTCAATAATGAGGTTGAACAGATAGTCTTTGGCCCAATAAAAAAATGTAAAGGATCAAGAAAGACACTCAAGGAAATTATTGATCGAAACCTCTGGGTGAATGATATATCTAAAGAATTAGTTACTGATAGAGTACAATATTCTTGTGTGATCCCTGTAGCTAACCTAACAAAGAATTAGTTGTTCTGGATATTCTAACTGAACCTATTCAAGAAAGAATCTTTAAGTCCATACTTTTCGCTGATGATATAGTTCTCATAACGGAATCAAAAGAAGAGATTAACACTAGATTAGAGTTATGGAGAAGGACTTAGGAGTCGAAAGGTTTCCGCTTGAGCAGGAACAAAACGGAATATATGCATTGTGATTTTGGGGGGAGGCAAGGCAATGGGGATTTGGAGGTGAAGATGGGGGATCAAATCATTCCTCAAGTATCAAATTTTAAATACCTAGAATCCATTATACAAGAGGATAGGGAAATTGATAGAGACTTTCTCATAGAATACAAGCTGGCTGGTTAAAATGGAAGAAAGCTACCAGAGTTATTTGCGATAAGAGGGTACCTGAAAAACTTAAAGGAAAATTTTATCAGACTACTATAAGACCAGCTATGTTGTACGGTAGTGAATATTGGGCAATAAAGGAAAAACAAGAGCACAAAATCCGGATAGTAGAAATGAGGATGTTGAGATGGATGTGTGGTCATACAAGAAAAGATAGGATTCGGAATCAAAATATCAAGGCAAGAGTCGATGTGGCACCTATCCAAGAGAAAATGATTGAAAATCGCTTAAGATAGTTTGGACATGTGTAGAGAAGGCCAATGGAAGCCCTGGTGAGGAGGGTGGATCAGACAAGATAAAGTCCCATAAAAAAGGGCAGAGGAAGATCGAGAAGAACGCTTAATGAGGTCATTGAACGAGATCTCCTAGTCAATAACATATCTAAAGACTGGGTTGTTGACAGAATACGATGGCGTCATGTGATTCATGTAGCCGACTCCACCTAGTGGGATAAGGCTTCTTCTTGTTGTTACTATTGTTTACTCATAACATAACAAAAGTAATTAACAAAAGTAAACAATTTGCTTTTGTTAACACTTACTTGATTCTCTTCATTGCACTCCTGGTGACAACATCAGCACCTTGCTCAAAAAGCAAGGGTATCCTATTTGCAAATCGAAATATATTCAGACCCTAGAAACATGAAGTATTAATTTCATGACTGATGATCTATTATATGAGAAGAGAATAAAACATCACTTTCTAACATGCACTTGATAATTCTTTAATCCATAGATCTGTATATAATATAAACTCTACAGGAAACAACACAATTCATAAGCCATGAACATTGTGGTTCATTCTTCAAACTTATAAGGGCCCATGCCTAGTTGGCTAAATTTCAGCCATCTTATACAATTAGCAAAGCACATTTATGACGAGCAACCAATGAATTTGGATGAGTAACTTACAGATATTTTTACCACAAACGATCTCAGCAATAACTCTATAGGGCATAAAATGAGCTCTTTACTAATCCACCAAGAAACCTTGATAACAGGTATTAAGGTAATCATTGACCTTGACTCTTTTTATCTTTGCTTATTGTAATACCATTCACACTTAAGAAAAAGAATTGTTAAGAAAAATATTTTCAAGAAATAAATATTCGCAGAAGGGGAAATTACTTGCTTGACATCTTTTCCGCCTACACTAACCCCGGCTTCAACAATGAATGGGTGGCCTTCAAATACTTGGGCGCTGTGTAAGTAGCAAGAACAGAAAAATTAGTTTCTGGGAAACAGGAAACGTTTACTGCTGGAAAAGGAAAGCATAAAGCTAAGATTAAGAAATTCCAACTGGATATCTAGCCCAAACAGCATCCATGTTTCTTTCAGGGCTATCAACAAAGGACAGTGAGCAAGTTAAATGCCATTCATCCACAAGGTTCAAAACTATGTCAATTACAGATGTAAAATTTATAGAAAGCCAGAAAAGGTAATCTAGGAAAACTTTCACACCAAAATCACAACCTGCCTGAATAGGTTGCAACCATGTCTGGGTGCAACTCTTTTATGATTCCCAGGCGAAGATTGTATTCACCAGCAGGACTAAGACACTGAAAATCCATATTAAATACAATGCATCGTCAAATCACACTAGTAAGGAATATAAGAAGAAAAAATTAATGGAAAAAGCATAACACAATATATGGTCTGTATTACAGGCTAAATAACTTACATCACCACTAGGATCATCAAACTTAGCTTGACGAAGCAGCTGATGGATGCGTACTATCTGCTGAGAAGTTAAAGACTTCACAGCCATTTTTGGGCTGAAATCAGGACCCATTTCCCCTGGTACAGAGATAGAGAGTAGAAAGTAGCTCAAGTAAGGAGCATCTCAATTACTCGCAATAAAAAATCAAGTGGCTAATTAAACATATGCTCTGCCTGATCTCAGTTACAATGAACCATTGCCCGAAACCCAAAATATAAAAGTAATTTTAATGAGCGTCAGCTACCAGGATAAAAAAAGGCATGCAAAGTGGCCATAAAGCATGCAACTTGCCACATCAGTCAATTACAAGTGAAGGCAATTCATGTTATTAGACATGCTTTTGTCACTCCCACAGGTCAATATCATCAAATTAAATGAAACGAGAGATATTGCAGTTTCATAGACATCGTATGGTTGCTGTAAAGTTAAATAGAGAGACCAGGGGCAAAAAGTCTGAGAATACAGTACCAGATGAAAGTTAATCTATCTTTCTAACATGTAAAAACCAAATGGCAATAGTCTACACAATACACGATAGATGATACAAAGTAAAAGAATATAAAAGATGGTAAAATATGCATGGGTGGATAAACTGGTGTTCTTCTGCTAAGATAGCATCTTTCATTTATTCACTAGATCCTGATATCAAGGACATTCAGTAACCATCTGAGACCATCACACTCCAAGAAAGCAGAGATTCGTCCCTCACCTTGCAAAATTAAAGCAAGGAACGAACACTATAAATAAGCACTCAATAAGGAGCACAAAGACAATCTATCGAACCATGGTTTAAGATCCCAATCTTTTTACCTATCAGTCTTTCAGCATAGGATTTGCTAATGTTCACAAATTCATTCTGCAGAAACTGCAAAAGGTTCTGCTTCGAAGTTTCAGCAATAAGTCGTTTAATTAGCAGCAAATCAACAGATGATGGATGATGCTTTGTCTCAAGCGGAACTGGTGGCATTACATCTGTTCTCCGAGCAAACCTTATAGTGACATTCTTACTGCCAAAGAAGACCTAGTATGAGATAATAGTGCATAGTTGTGCCGGGAAAGAAAATCTTACCAGAGACAGATGCATACTCAGGCGCATCGGACACAAATTTAAATAGAAACTGTGCATAAGGAGTGATAACAGCCATTTGTCTCATGTAATGCAATATTTTTGACTGCAAATGAAAAGAAAGGAGCTTATATGTACAGATCAATATTATTATTGGTCCCCCAACTAAAATACATCAGCATGACAAAACATAATTTGGAAATCTGAAATGTGCAGTTAAATAACTAAATTATGTCCCAACTAAGTATTACATACACGATAAGTTGTCCAGTTTCCCTCTATGACCACTTGAATTTCAGCTCCATGCCAGCGATCTTTGTTCTCCCATTTTTCATGTAAATGCACATGTGGAATGTTCCTGAAATTTAAAACATTTTCTGTTATGTGGAGAGAGAGTTGAAATATAGTGATTTGCAATAACTTTTTTTCCTCTTTAATGATAGATTGCAAAAACTTAAATCATACTGATGAATGTCTATATCCAGCCTGCAAAATGAAGTATAACTTTGGTTTCTCATTGATGACAGGATTTCAATAGGAAGCCCAGTGCTCATTTTAGACCATATTAGAGCCTGCGAATATGAATAGTACAGTAACACAGATCAATAAAGACAACCAGAACATGTCAACTACCAATTAAAGATTAAAATATTGCATATTGCCAATACCATCTTTGCACCAAGACCAAATTTTCCTCGTGTCTGCCTTAAGCCATATTTTGTCCCAGAAAGAACTGCACGAATAGGTATGCTGTAAGCATTCTCAAAATAGTATACAAAAATCTAGTGTCTAGACAACTTATTTCCACAGCAGTTGAGGAAGGCAGCAACTGACAGACCTCGGCCAAACATATTTGGGATGTCATCATGTGGCATTCCTTTTCCATTATCCTGCAATAAGTTTCTGGCATGAGTTTGTCTTTAGTTCAATTGCAGGAAAGAAATTAATGAGGAAATAACCATTAAGAATCTCAAATTAGAATTCAAAAGGATATTATATACTTTTATTAACTAGCATGTAGTTAATAAATCATGCCATTAATACAGTACCACAAAAGAAACCTTAAAGCCTTAAAGGTAGAAATCGTACATACCTTACATGTGACCCTGTAAAAAGAAGCCTCACCTCGACCCCTAATTCCCTTGGAAGCTGCGGGCTCTTTCACTTTCTTTCCAAGGGCAGCATTCTTTGCTTGTATTTCTTGAGCACGGGCCTCCTTTGCTAACCGTTTCTGCATGGAAAAGTATAATGTAATAATGTATAACTGAACCATACGAAGCCTTCAAGGTAAAATCAACAGCCATAAACAATTAACAGCTTCTGAGTCTACCCAATCAACAGCCATAAACAACATACTAGCCCACTAGGAGTAAAACATGGTTATACAGTAAAAAATTTGAAAATCTATAGAAAATCAAACTATGCCTGAAAATAGAGTACAATTCTGACTTTTGTCAACGTATGAATCTAACACAATGAAGGTAACAAGAAATTCACATTAAAAGGAAACAAACCTCACGAGCCTTGTCTGTTTCATAATCATCATATAATTCTGCATCAATCCGGTCACGGTCAACAAGTCCGATCAAAGAATTAAATTTGCTTTTCCCTATCTCCTCACTGCAAGAGCCGAGCCCATTGGGCATACCGTTTATGGATGCATAAAGAAGATAACTTAAAGCTAAGAAGCAGCATTATAAATGCATATTTTACTGATGGCCATATGAACGGAGGTGCTCAGTGCATGTACGTCAGCCTGATCAATTTACCTACTTGTTCGCATCACTTTTTTCTGCTGGCAAGACACGCATACTTACATAATTATTTCAACAACGGGAAGCTCAGATATAGATTCTGCTGAGTCGAGGGAATTCTCAACAAGCTCTCTGACAGTGGTATATAGGCATTTCCCAGGCTGAAATCCGCAAAATTTCAATGAGGAAAAAGAATACATGTACATGCGCATGCGCGCAAAAACGCCACTAAAATATAGATTAAGGAGCACAATCACTTGTGCTGTTGTGTGTGGGAGTCCAGTGACTTAGAATGCATCATCGTCTTCGCTGCTACGTTTTACCTTTTATTTTTTTGTTGCAATGTTTAATGTGAATTGTCAAACGAAAAAACTAATCCAGATAATTGACGGCGCAGCAAATAAAGCTAACAAAGGAAAAGAAGGAAATACAAAATCATGCTTACATTATCAAATCCAGCTATGTTTTTGTTCTCTGCGAAGAACTCGGCCGGAGATTCTAGGAAAGAGAAAATCAAAAGAACATATCAAGAGAAAGAAAGAATTCAAGAATGCAGTGATGCGGACACTGAGAGAGAAAGAGAGACAGACTCTGCTTCAGAAGGCTTTCCTTTGTTTTTCGGGGGGTCTTGGACTTGGTTTTGTTTGCCTCGCCTGGGCTTTCACTATCCATTTGAAGTGACCAAAAATTGCACCCTGGGAATCTTAATTAACAGGATCTTGAGGAAAACAGAGGATTCAAAACTCAGAACAGTGAACTTGGAATCGGAATAAGCTGGCACTTGGCGGTGCGAGCTTTTCCCGCCCGACCTCCCTTTGCCCCTGGCTTTCGCTTGCCGCCCTTCACGTCACATTTGGAGCCTTTTAGCAGCTCGAATTTCGTTTACCTCGCGCGGCGTTATTAAAAGCATAGTTGTATTAATGGATCCTCATCAATTTATCGCTTTATTCAGTGTAGCCACCATTAATATATATCAGTCCATCTCCCTACGACAGTATTATAAATAAACCATTATTTACAGAATGAAAATATAAAAACACCCTAATTACCATGATCACTTCTGACTTTGTAATCGTCGACATGCCAAATAAAACTAAAGTAATGTATTTAAATGGTTATTGAATATCAAAAAATATTTGAATGAAGAAGAATAAGAATAGGGATCAGTGTGCGTGGAGAAATTTTCATCAGGACACCGGAATGATGTAAAAGACATGTTTTCAGTACATTTTTCCTCGGAGTTGAACACTATGTTTGGTACAGGGTTTTCGGAGGGGAGTGCTCCCCTCCCCTTGTTTGGCTGGTATAATTTTTTAGGAGGGGAGGGGAGCCTCCCCTCTCCTTGTTTGGTTAAGATGTTTTTTAAAGATGGGAGGGGTTCTTCTCCCCTCCTCTTCCCTTCTAGCCTCCCCTCCAAAAATGGGGTTTTTTAGAGGGGAGGTGAGAGATGATATTTTAATTCCTTATATGCCCTTTCGATTTGTTAACCTCTAATCAGTCATAAACATTTTTACATAAGAGAGTTCTTTTGAGTATCTAATAAGAGGTTATTAAGATAATTATCTCCAAAATTAGCGAGCATTTGTAAACTTTTTTTCTCCTCTTCTAATTCTAAGAGGCCGTTGGTATTTTCTTTCACCTTCAAGGTCTTTTCTCTGATTTAAATCTATCACTTGTGACTTTTTGTCTTGATATTCTATAAGTGTGTGACTGTATCTTGCAAATCAAAATTAGTGAATTGTATTATATATATATAGTTATATATTAACAAAATAAAAAGTGAGAAAATTCATTTAAATTTTATGAGGCTAAAATAGTCAATTTTTTATTAGAACAAAATAAGGTATTATTAAAATTGCTCCCTCCCCTCCCCTCCCCTCCAATCAATTCAAACAGGAGATCATTAAAATCCCTCCCCTCCCTTCCCCCTCCCTCCCCTCCTCTTTATAGCTACCCTCCCCTTTCCTCCCCTCCCCTCCCCTTCCCTTGATTAAAATCCCTCCCCTCCCCTTCCCTCCGTCGAGCCAAACATAACGGAAGAGTTTGGAGTTGTTGTTTCCTTGGGCCGAAACAGTTGGTAGCTCGTGTTGGGCTCGGTGACATTAATGGGAGGATGAAGAAGCCCAATAAGAGAACGTGACGACTGACGAATGGGATTCTCAGGTTGTCCCAAAGATGGAGCCTTATTACGCTTATCCTGGGCCCCAGGTGTGGCCGACATATCAAAGGAATGTTAAGAAATATAGTTATAGCGAACCAAAATTTAAATTTCTATTAAAAAAATTCTATATTTAGCGCTTAACAGACAGAATTGCTTTCAATATAAAGATATATCTGCTTAAAAATAGTTAAAATTAGTTAATGATTTCTGATTTTAAAAGATTATTATCAATAAGAACGTGGGTGGAGGTGTGCGCGTTGTTTGGGTGAGACTGCAGCGTGATGCGAGCATGGACCACGGAATCCGCGGCTCCTCCAGCTTACGTGTCAGAGTGACCGTTTGTTTCCAGCTTTCCATCCACCGTGTATACACAGTACACACCGATATTTCTAATCTTATTTATCTCGTTTTTAGCCCTATGACTTACATATGCTTCATATGCTTCATATGCCCCTTGCCCCAATGGAAATCTTTGCCATATGTACATCCCCTTCAAAATTCGTCCGCTCCGTTGATATTTTTTAATCCCCTTTCATCCTTTTCTTTTTCAAAAAATTTGGTCCCCGCCCGATATTTTTCCCTCTGTCGGATTAAGCAACCTCAAACCAAAGCGGATGATATCCACACATGCACGCTCAGGCATTACAATATCCATTTATTGATCCAAAAATCACGATTCCAATTATATGATTGCATGCACACTCGTTTTTTCTGAAATTGCTCAAATCCGAAAAGAAACATATTGCAGGAATCAGGGCCCATTTCAAATGGCTTATAATATGGTTTTTCAATCATAATTAACAAAATACGAAATAAGTATGTGATGAGAGTTTTATCTTGATTTAAGTAAAATGTACTCATGCGTATTTAAATAAATCAATCTAAATAAGGCCTTACTTGAATCGATAAAAAAATATAAATAATGTATTTTAAATAATTACTGAATAATTAGAACTTTGTATTTGTTCAAGCTAAAAACCGTGGGTGATCGATCAGTTTGGATCAGCCATTTCACCTGGGCATTGCCATTCATACCCTGTCTGTCTACTCGGTCGAACCAACATTTTGCTGGCTTTATATATACCTTCACATCTTTTTAATTGTAGCAGAGCGTGGTCTGTTTAATCAGTTGGAATTATGCCTTTACATCTTTGATTAATAACAAAGCAGTCTGTTACAGCCCCGTCGTCGTGGCATAACTGGCTCTTTTGGTTCCCCCCAACAAAATTTGTCACATTGAAGTTTTAAAATATGATTTATTGTTTGCATAATGAAAAATAGCATAAAAAAGTAATCATTGTAAAATTAGATTTGGGGTCATGCATTAAAAACGAGTTTTGTTCTCCGCACGTGCGTGAAAGCGACTCTGTTGATGCTGATGGGACCTGGTAGGGTCGCAATAATTGCATGCCAGACGTTCCTTGTTAACAATCGAGCTCTGTTTCACTGCGCTAAAGCCTAAGAATGCAGTCGAGAAGGGGCCCCGCCCCGGAAAATATTATCACGACGGTACTAAGAAAGCCGTGGATTGGACCACAACGTCTGGGACGCCAATCAGCGTTAGCCACCTCTTCATCACTGCTATCACCTCATCCCTTCGTGATTTAAATATCTAATTTATTTATTAAATGAGATGATAAGTGATACTAACGTTTTTGGCCTCACTAAATATTACTAATTTATTTAATAATTTTTTGATCCAACTAAATAAATTAATTAAATAGATTTTATATAAATTCAAGAGGAATAGTTTTAAGCCTAAAATAAGTTGAGAAGAGTAAGCGCCGCGGGCTGGCTTGATTTGTTTGTGATTGAGTTCGACTATAAGTTTAATTCCGCCTTCTCCCCTCGCGAGGATTCACATCTTCCCAACCATCTGGTGAATTATTGACGCCTCACCAAGCAGCTTCAAGATACTCTCTGTCCCAACTATTAATATCTTTAGTTACTGCTTTTTTTTTTTAAAACCAAATGATTTTATTATGCTAAAACAGCTGGAAGACGTTTCATTCATAATTAAGTTATAAACATTATCACCTGTTTTAACCAAGCTCCATACATCGCGCTTACTCGTTAATTTCTCTAAAAGTTAATAATGCCCATGTGCCTATATGCATCTAGAGATAGATGTCCCATTATCAAACGCAAGCGTGAGAGTGACAGACGTAATTAGATGCTATTTTCAGACTTAAAAAAGAAAGAAAAAAAAAAAGAGTTTAGAATCGTGTGGCGTTATTTTCTATAAATGATGGTTCACAAGACCTTGCGGAACATCACACGCGACCAAACGAGTACTGGGTACTCTTCCAGTCTTCCTCCATACATCCATCAGCGTTATCATCACAAGGAAATATCCGAGTCTTCCATAGCTAGGTGATGCTGAGGCCTCTGGCGATCACGCAGCCACGCTGTGGCCATGGCCATCTGGTGTTTCGGAAGCCACGGATAAGTCTGCAGAGCGGCAAAAGTCCTCTGTTCCAGCTGGGACGCTCGATCCGAAGCCAAAAGAAACACACGAGGGCTAGGGTTAGGTGCAGCAGCAGTGGCGCCGACCTCAAAGCGGCGACCGCAGTGGGGGAAGCTGGAAGAGAAAACACGGCGAATAAATCGACCAGGGTTAAAGTCACCCTAACAGTTCTGCGAACTGTTGGAGGTTATTTCTCAGAACTTGGTATCGAGCGAGGGATCGATGATATCAAGGAGCTGCTCGGTCAATCTCTGCAAGTGGAGCTCCTTAGCGCCCAGCTCGAACACAGTTAAGTGCGAACTACAAACAGCAAATTAAAAACTCCTTTTATAAATAATTCATACATGAATATTTTTATATATAAATAATTTATATCTTCAGCACGGGAGGAGCAGTGCTTAATATGGAGGGAGACCTGGACCATATATTTTTTTAAAAAAAATTCAAATATGCTGAGGCTTTGATCGTAGTGAGATCTTGCAGGGACCAGTCCCGACTTTGCAGTAGCTAGCTAGAATCCTACGCAACTAAACTCGGCTTTATAAACCCGCCCTAGGGAGACTCGATCCATTCCTATTATAACTAGGTTGAAAGTGAGTTCAAAGCTTTTGGGGAGAATTACAGCGAGTGTTCCTTTTAATTAAGTTTGTGATACTTAGGGGGTGATTTGAAAACTGTAAAAGTGGTTTTCAAAACTATTTTTTTGCAAATTGAATTAAACTCATTTATATATTTACTTCGTATATCGTAAAATCACTTTTAAAATTATAATTTTGTTTTTATCTAAACACTCCTTTAAATAAACATGAATCAGTAATACTAAATTGTTTTGTGAAAAAAAGAATTATGGTTTTGCCTTCAACATGCTATATGGCCTGGTGAATTTTTCTTCAAAAAGAAGAATTGGAAAACTATATTTAATGACCATTTCTTTTACATAATTTATCATTTACAGGTAATTAATTTTCCTCGAACTAACCTTGTAATTAACTAGTTTAAAAGCTCAAATTCATTACAAAGTACAAATAAATTTAATTTATTTTTTCTGAACGAATAAAAACATGTCATTTACATTTCATTCCAGCAGTTTAATTAACATTTAGATCTTTTTTGGGAAAGAAAAAACGAGACAGTTTTATCGTTATCGTTTAAAATAAAATCATAACTCGTACTCTGCAAGAATTAAACGATTGTTGCAGCAGGCATGTACAAGTTCTTTTTTTTTTTTTTTGGAGCTGACTTTACAAGTTCTTGCTACAAGGATATTATCGCCTACAAAATTAACATGGTCAAGCCTTTGAAATACGTAGTTCATAATTTGAAGGTTATTCCTCGTAAACTTTATTATTCTATTACATCTGTTGCTTAAGATGTGTTTGGGTAACTCTCAAAATCATAGTTTAGGAGGCAAAACCATGGTTTAGAAGGTAAAACCATGGTTTTGGTGAGATGTCATCCAAACAGTATTAATTTTGGATCAATAATCTGAAACCATGGTTTGGGCTAAAACCATGGTTTTGGAATGGTTTCAGGAGAAGTGAATTCATTCTGGCTCAAATTGGAGAAATGATTGTGCCTGTCAGAGTAGATCTCGACAATAATATGACTTTAACATTTCTCAACTATTTTTTTATAAACATATTTAACCTTATATCTTATAAACATATATACATATTAATTATTTATTAATTATATTATATTATGTATTATTAATTATGTTGGTAAAAAATATATTATTAACAATTTTATTTCTTTAAAATTAAAATATATCATTAAATTTATCTTTTATATAATTATTATATTAATTTTTTTTTTAGTAATTTGTATATATAAAAAGTACTTCTGATAATAATTATCCAAACACTCTCACTTCTCAGAATCATTTTTTTACAAAATTTATTCTTCACAGAATCTATTCTTCCCAAAATTTATTTTAAATCATGGTTTGATTTCATCCAAATACACCCTTAATACTACTTCCGGTCTTTAATATAAAATTTTGTTTGATTTTTATTTTGATTATAAATATAAAATTCTAATCCACTTTATTTTTAACATTTGTGCATTTTTTTAAGGTAATACTTCTAATAATAGTAGTTTTAACTAACACACTTGATTAGTAAGGATATTTTAAGAAAGATAATATCTGTTTATTTTAAATAACTAACTTAACTTATTTCTTTAATCTTTTCAAATTAGTTAACTAGTTCTTATAATTAGGATTGGAGGTAGTATACTAGTTAGTTTGATTTTTAATTTGGTTTTAAACGAAAGGCTCTAATTTACTTTGTCTTTATATTTAAGATTTTTTGAAAGTTATCTTTGTAATAGCTTCAAGTATTAAGAGTTTTATCAAATAGTAGTTTTATACATTATTAGCAAAAAAGATCCTGGTTCCACGTAAGATAAGTTGAATAGCAGAGGGGATTTTGCAATCTGGGCGTGGGATTAATTTAAGGTTCAGAAAATTGGGTACCTTAGAAGAAGTTTTTTTGTTTTTTGTTTTAAAAAGCGAGCTATAGTGGATGCTTTAATTTTCTTCTGGACTAGTGGTCCGGCCGGCAGTGCGTATTAATGGAGGCGAGCATGAAAAGGGCCGAGTGCCCACCATGACTAGAATGGAGAAAGCCGAAATCGAAAAGGACGAACAAAGAATCGCAAGTCTCGCGTAAAGCAATGAAGAGGGAGACAGGACATTTCATGAGTTATTGCACATGAAAGTCGCTGTCAGTCCTTGCCACGTTTTATTTATTTTGAGTTATGGAAAGCAGAATTGAAATGAGTGAATTATTAACGATGAGAATTTGGTTGTGCATGGTGGAAATGAATTGAAAAGAGACGGGATTGGAGAAGGAGACGATAAAAGGGTTCGTGCACAGAAGTGGGGAAGAGGATCAAGAGGTGGAGTACGAGGCGGAATTACAAGTGGGGAGCGAGTTCGGAGAGATAGGGGCGGTGTTGGTGGAGAATGAGCACCACAAGGAAGTGTTCGTCAAGGACATTGTCCTGCACGGCTTCGAGGGCGGCCCCCTTCGCTTTTCCTGCAACTCATGGGTCCACTCCAAGCACGACGACCCCGTCAAGAGGGTCTTCTTCCCCAACAAGGTATATCACTATTATTCACTGCGAGTTTGCGGCTACAATTATTATTATTAATGCGGTGCTCATTAATAATGTGGTTTACGTTGGGGAGCAGTCGTACTTGCCGTCGGAGACGCCGGAGGGCATCAAGAGGATCAGGGAAGAGGAATTGAAGATACTGAGGGGCAACGGCACCGGAGAAAGGAAGAGCTATGAGAGGGTTTACGATTACGACGTGTACAACGACCTCGGAGATCCCGACAGCAGCGACAACCTTAAGAGGCCCGTTCTCGGCGGCCACCAGCATCCCTATCCCAGGCGTTGTCGAACCGGCCGTCCCCGTTGTCGAAAAGGTTAATTCCCCCCTTTCACTTCCACTTTTATTGAAGCACAACTAAAAATAGGATGAAATCAGTTTCGGTGCTTTTCATTTTAACGGTATTTTAAACTCATCAGATCTGAATCATTTATATCTGATTTGAATGTTTCAGATTTAAAATTTTTAATTAATTATTTTAAATAAAAAATATTTTTTTGACAGAAAAAATAGTTGATAAATTATCTTTATTTTAGATTTCATCTATAGTAAAATAATTATTTTGAATAAATAAAAATGAAAAAAATAAATCCTAACTTTTAAAATCAGATATAAACAATTTAAATTTGATGAGGTTAAAGTAGCATTGAATCTGGTTTCAAAATAGAAGAGGGTCCTCGAATGGGCCCGCTTGCTTGTAATTACTAGAATTTAATATGAGTCGGGCGATGAACAGATCCATTATCAGAGCAAAGAAGTAGCAGCGTGTATGTGCCCAGAGACGAAGCCTTCTCGGAAGTGAAGCAGCTAACGTTTTCTACGAAGACAGTGTATTCGGTATTGCATGCCCTGGTCCCCGCGCTCCAGACCACCATGGTCGACAGTACTCTTGGCTTTCCTTTGTTCTCATCCATTGATGATCTTTTCAACGAGGGAATCAACTTGCCTCCTCTTAAAAACAAAGGCTTTCTCAGTACCCTTCTGCCTCGCCTTGTCAAGTTCATCAATGACGCCGAACAAGACATTCTGCGTTTTGAGACGCCCCCTACTATGGACAGTAATAACATATCTCTCATTTTCCCCTCATCACTCCTTTTTAAAACTACTTGACTCATTATTTTTGACATACCTACAATGGCAGGAGACAGGTTCTTTTGGTTTAGGGACGAGGAATTCGCAAGGCAAACTCTCGCGGGTCTCAACCCATGCAGCATCCAATTGGTTACGGTACGTATATATATGCGCACTTCCTCAGCCATATATCGCTCAATGATATATACATCTTTCCAAATAGCTGGCTATATCTAAAACCCTCCCGGCGCCCGCAGGAGTGGCCATTGAAAAGTGCATTAGACCCCAAGATCTATGGCCCACAAGAATCAGCAATAACCACGGAAATCATCGAGAGAGAAATAAAAGGTTTTGCAACCGTTGAAGAGGTGAAAACTCATTTAACCAAATACACACACACACACACACATGTAAAGAAAATGAAGCATGGAGTAGGATGCGTAAATAATGAAGTTGTAAAACTTGTCAGGCCATAAAACAAAAGAAGCTGTTCATTCTAGACTACCATGATCTGCTTCTACCATATGTGGAGAAGGTTAGGCAGCTTGAAGGGACCACTCTGTATGGCTCAAGGACATTGTTCTTCCTAACCCCAGACAACACACTAAGGCCTCTGGCCATCGAGCTGACTCGGCCACCTATGGAGGGCAAGCCGCACTGGAGACAAGTTTTCACCCCCGCCTGGCACTCAACCGGCATTTGGCTTTGGAGGCTTGCCAAAGCCCACGTCCTTGCCCATGACTCCGGCTACCACCAACTCGTCAGTCACTGGTGCGTGACAACTTACTCAGTTACTCTAACTTAAATTGCGGCCTTGTCATTCTATTCAATTCCAAATCTTCCAACATTAATTAATTTAATTGTGTTTTCTTCAGGCTACGCACCCATTGCTGTACGGAACCATATATCATTGCAACAAACCGGCAGCTCAGTGCTATGCACCCGATCTATAAGCTTCTGCATCCCCACTTCAGATACACGATGGAGATAAACGCCCTTGCTCGTGAGGGACTCATAAACGCAGATGGAGTCATAGAGAGCAACTTCGTTCCTGGAAAATACTCCATCGAACTTAGCTCCGTCGCGTACGACAAGCTGTGGCAATTCAATTTACAAGCCCTGCCCGCCGATCTCATCAACAGGGGATTGGCGGTGGAGGACCCCAGTGCTCCCCACGGGTTAAAGCTGACCATCGAGGACTACCCTTATGCCACAGACGGCCTCGTTCTTTGGGACGCCCTCAAGCAGTGGGTCACCGACTATGTCAACCGTTCCTACCCAGACCCGAGTTTGGTGGAGTCGGACTCAGAGCTCCAGGCTTGGTGGGAAGAGATCCGAACCAAAGGCCATGCGGATAAAAAGGACGAGCCTTGGTGGCCGGTTCTTAAAACGCCAAAGGACCTCGTGGAGATCGTCACCACTATTGTTTGGATAGCGTCGGGCCACCACGCGGCGGTTAATTTCGGGCAGTACGCGTATGCCGGGTATTTCCCGAACCGGCCCACCACTGCTAGAACTAATGTGCCCACGGAGGACCCGTCCGACGCGGAATGGGAACTTTTCATGAACAAACCAGAACTTGCACTATTGAGGTGCTTTCCTTCGCAAGTTCAGGCGACGACGGTGATGTCGGTGCTGGACATCCTGTCGAGTCACTCACCAGACGAGGAGTATCTGGGGAGTCATATGGAGCCGGCGTGGGAGGAGGATCCGATAGTGAAGGGTGCATTCGAGCAGTTCCAAGGGCGGCTGAAAGAGCTTGAAGGGTTGATCGATTTGAGGAACGCGGATCCAAATCTGAGGAACCGAAACGGCGCTGGAATTGTGCCTTATGAGCTTTTGAAGCCGTTTTCTGAAGAACCAGGAGTTACTGGAAAGGGAGTTCCCTACAGTATCTCCATTTGACGTTGCCGCAGACTGTTCGGGTTCATGAGTTCTGACGTCACTTTTGTAGCGGAATGCTTCCATCATAAGATCTGACTCGCTGATGACAGTTTAATTATGATGCAACTGCATACGCATTTGAAGAAATTGCCTTTTCTTGCCCTTTTCGCAATGGAATTGCCCAATCATGGACCCCCCGCGTTGAAATTTTTCTCAGTGAAATGAATAATTTTAAACTTTTCTTGAGGCTTGCAATTGTTTATTAAATTTGGGTCAATTACTCTATGTTTTTCTATAGTTTTTTGAAAAATTAAAACCAAATCATGGAGACATGAAGCATAGTTAATCATGCATCCCCCGGCTAAACATATATGGAGGAGACGTTGGACTTTTCAAGGGGAAGAAAAAAAGCATTTGGTTCTTAAAAAAACATAACCTTTACTCGTCCTTTCCTCACAGTTAAAGAAAGGACTTCTGGGCATAGGTCTTATGAATTCTATTTCCTAGTTGCTTTTGTCTTTCGAACAAATATATATTTTAAAAATATTTATATCTTCATAAGAAATATAAAATAAACCAATTAACTTATATAGTACTCCTCCGATTCTTAATATAGGATCTAATTGTTAAGTTGATCATGGTCATAAATATAAGACATATTTCTCATATGTATCAATTTTTCTTAAATTATCTCTATGGATGCCCCTCGACTATATCAAGTAAAAAAGAGGGGGATATTAAAAAAAGTGATTATAGTGTTTTAGGAAAAACATGTTATATTTTTTATAATTAACTAACTTATTTATTTTTTTAATCTAATCAAATTAGTTAAATAAGTTTATAAGGACAGAAAGAGTATTAATTTTTTTAAAATATAACTTCTCTAGAAATGGTGATGGAACCCAATAAAGTTTGGCAAAAAAGGAAGAAAAAAAAACCAAATAAAGTCATGACAATTCCAAACAAGTTAGCACCTTGTGGTCCTATATAATACCAAGCTTTTGTCCCCTTTGTTACGAGTTCCACCTTTTTATAAATATAGCGAGCATATGAGCTAGGTTAAAAAATTTACACTTTTCAGATAAAAGTATATAAATAAAAATTACCTTACAATGATAGCATCGCCGGATCATATATACAAAAAAAAAAAAGATAGTTAGAGTGCCATAAATATTTATTTTGTAACTATTTGGAATCATAATATTATTTTTCAAAAGAAAAATTTTAATTATAATTTACAGAAGATAAAATAAGTATATGAAAAAAAAATATTTCAATTTATGTAAACAAGTACTTTTAGATGTGAGAATGCAATCTTGAGCAAACACTTTAAGTATTTATTTGTTGCATTCACAGTGCTTGTTTACAATGAGTTATCAATAAATTTTTAATAATATAAATACGTGAGGAGAGTTTTATCTCAATTTATATAGACATACTTATAAGTGTTTATAAATTCAGTTTCAAATAAATCCATAATAAATTAGCAACAAATGTCTTGATCATTTGCAATTCATGCCTTCATGGGGAGTTTGGCACCTTTACAATTACTTAGAAAAAAATATTTTTATGTAATTTGGGGTAAAATTCGTTTACTTTATTTTAAATAAAAACACCCTTTTGGTAGCAAATTAACGAAGCAGTGGGTGGCTAACCCAAGAGAGGAACCTCGCGGGACCAAGGGTCTGTCTAAGTAACATTCCAAATCATGGTTTGAAAACCCAAACCATGGTTTGAATAAAAAGCTGCCAAACAGAGAGTAAAATTAACAAACCACGGTTTCAGATAAAAAACTAATAGTTTTGGATTTAAAACCATGTTTCAGAAAAAAAGTGAATCCATTATGTTTTTAGAGGGTGTTTGGCAACCTCCAAATCATAGTTTCAGAAGCACTTTTTTGTAAAACAAGACAAATTCCTCTACATATTTACTTTGTAAACCGTAAAAGCACTTCTGAAATCATGGTTTGGTTTTTATTCAAACACCCTCTAGTTCAAATTGGAAAGTATGATTATGCATGTCAGAGTAGATCTCAACGACAATATAACTTTAACACCCATCAATTATTTTTTTATAAACATATTTAATCTTATATTTTATAAATATATATACATATATTAATTATTTGTTAATTATATTATCTTATATGTCATTAATTATGTTGGTAAAAAATATGTTATTAACAATTTTATTCCTTCAAATTAAAATATATTATAAAATTTATCTTTTATTTAATTATCATATCAATTTATGTTTTCTTAGTAATTAGCACATATAAAAAATACTTCTGACGACACCCGTTTAAATACTTTTACTTTATCAGAATCACTTTTTCACAAAATCTATTCTCTTAAAAATATATTTTCCAGAAACTATTCTTCAAATTATAATTTGGTTTTATCCCAACATCCCCCGAAGCACCGGTCAAAATCTGAACAGCCAGATTCGGGAGGATTCGCGGTTCAATCCGCCACTCGACCGTCTTGTGACTACACTGCTTTTTTCAGGCGTGATTACACTCCTTTGGTCTGCCTTTTCCCATAACATCCTACCCTGTTATCATCTTTCATCTTTCCCTTCGTACTGTTCTCTCACATGCCATTCACACCGCCTCACATGAAGAACCACTCATCATGTTTGAGTTTGAATTTGATCACCCCACCTCTGCCCCTACCTCAGTGTTGTACGATGGATCCAGACCATTGCGTCCATCGTACCCTCCGTTTCATTAATGACAAATTGAAAAGGATAAAAAAAGGCAACTGGAAAAATGGGTGATGTTTGGCCACAAAAGAAAAATGGGTGAAGTCGTTCTAAAATGAATACGAACAAAACGAGTGTAATTCACAGAATATCAGAAAGTAATTCGGGTTTAATTTGGGAAAAATTTCAATTAAGAACCAGAGTAGATAATTCATTTCAAACAGCTCTAAAATATTATGAAATATAACTACAGGACTAAAAGAGCAAACTAAAATTAATTTTTTTAAAAAAAAGACATTTTTACCTCTCAAAACTCTGTGATCTTGAAGCTCTTCCTCTCTTTTTTCTGGAAATATTCAATAGCTCCAGTTCTTCTCTTTCTCACTCTCTGAAAAAGTTACAATAGAAGAAATAGAGAAAGATTTGCAATATTATATACAAAAATTTTTGAATGAAAAGACAATGAAAGATGTCGCGTAGAGAGAGAGAGATCATGACGATAGCAACAGTTCTTGTTACCAAAACAGCACTGACGGCAAAGGCATTACATACTAGAATAGTAGTGATGGCAAAGGCTCTCCTTACTAGAATGATGATAACAGTAAATGATCTCTCTCAACACAACAGCAAATTTTTTAGAGTGAGAGAGAGAAGAACTGGAGCTATCGAATGATTCCAGATAGAAGGGGAAGAGTTTCAAGGTCACAGAGTTTTGGGGGTAAAAATGTTTTTTCTTTTCCTAAATTAATGTTAGTTTACTCATTTGATCGTACAGTGACATTTCAGAATGTTTTGGGGGTTGTTTGAAATAAATCGTCTACTGTGCTCCTTAATTAAAACTTTCTTTTAATTTGGGCTTTCTCCACGTGATAAACGATGAAACCAATGACCAAAAGACCCATGAAAAAAACAGGCGTGGCTGTGAGCTGCGTGAATAAAAACTGTACCGGAAAAAGAAAAATCAACGACCCTTGAGGGATCGGTCTGGATAAGACTTCTGTGGTGGCAAATTTTGTGGCAGTATTTCATTAACACAACCACTCTAGTTCTGTCCGGATATTGGCACAGAAAATGACTCACGGGTCGAACTCCTTCAATGCTTTTGTGAAGCGGGAATTCCCTTAAATTTTCATGTTCTCATGGAATATGGATTGATTAAAAAACAAGTGCACCTGTGTCCGCACTCGTTGTTTAATTCGGCAAATTTTTACTTGCATTTCTTTAGTTAAATTACACGGCAGAATACTCCTGCCTGAATAATCATTTTTTTTTGTCAACATTCTGCCTCTCTGGTATATATTGCGTATTTTGAAGTTTTCCATATATTGTCAGTCATCAAATAAATTACTTATTCAGGAATTTATCTGATTCGTACCAACTGAAACATGATTAAAAAATAAAAAAAATACAAAATAAAAATGTGTGGTTCAATCATTTTCATGAATTTATTATGTATTTTAAATGACATAACTGTTCGGTAATTGACCTTTTTTTATAAAAAAACAAAAGAGAAAATCCTTGAAGTATATCTGTATAAATACATCATAAAAAGAATGATTATATTTATATATGCCGTAAAAATCTTTAGCCCCACTTTTCTTATAAACTCTATAAAAATGTTGGGATGAATTTCACATGCATTTTATATTGTGCGTGTGTGTGTGTCTATAAATAAAGAAGCATGTCTAATTAGACACGAATGAAAACTCGCGGAATCTTAGAAAACTTATGGATTTTATCCAAAAAGAGGAGCTGAAAAGAAAACAGAACTAATCAGAGAGCTGGAGTCATTCTCATTCATCAAAATTATATGCCCACACAAAATGCTAAAACAGCACACAACGACGACGACGAATTAGCTGTTCAGTGTTTGTCAATCTTATCAAGTAGCTTCCGCGGAGCAAAACTTCCATCCCTCGTAAGCACCGTGATGTTAGGCATTCACGTATTTCGCCCTATCCTTCCAGCTCAATTAACACGGTTATTAATCTTAATTTAAAATGAAAATTCTCTCATAATGCGTATAAAGTACATGAATTAACACTATAAGTCCGTGCATAAAAGCAGCGGCCATATATTCAAGCCAAGATAAACCCAAAATTAAGTCGACCGCGTATATATATTTACGCTATTTTCGGTTAATATGAAAATTTATTTGATTTTTATTTTATTTCTAAATATAATATTCGAATTTAATTTTTTTTCATATTTATTTTTTTAAAAGATAGTGCTTATAGTAATGATAGTTCTAACTAATAGATTCAATTAATAAGGATATTTTAAAAAATAATAATACATATTTATTATAAATAATTAATTTAATTAATTTTTTTAATCTATTTAAATTACTTAAATAGCTAGGGAGGTGGTATATTATACAAGGAGACACGACACAAAAAAGAGCGTATGTCTGAAAAGCTAAATTACTGATATTATCATCACTCGCCGGTTCTAGCTTGTTCTATCTTCATTGGCACTGCCATAATGAACTGGTGAAGTGAAACCGAAATAATTGCATGCTCCTGTGCTCGCAAGTAG